CAACATACTTAATCTTGTCCACTCCTGCTGTCAGTTGGCTCAGCGCTGGGTTGGACCTCTCTCCGATCTGCCAGTAGTCCACGAGGAGACACTCGTTAGTGATCTATTAATGTTAGCGTGGCTAGGGTGTTGTTAAATGATTTAGGGGCGGTGTTAGAATAATTAGGGGCGGTGTTAGAATAATTAGGGGCGGTGTTAGAATAATTAGGGGCGGTGTTAGAATAATTAGGGGCGGTGCTAGAATAATTAGGGGCGGTGTTAGAATAATTAGGGGCGGTGTTAGAATAATTAGGGGCGGTGTTAGAATAATTAGGGGCGGTGTTAGAATAATAAGGGGCGGTGTTAGAATAATTAGGGGCGGTGTTAGAATAATTAGGGGCGGTGTTAGGTGGGCTAGAGGTGGTGCTATCTTGGCTAGTGGTCCTAACTCTCATTATCCACGTTGCTAAATCAGTCTAAGCAGAGTATGACTCACAGAAGAACATTTATGTAATGCGTCAGAGGAAATTTAAAGCTTATCGAAAAGTAGTAATTCTAGTGATTAATAATGCCATGTGTAAACACAGTATGAGGGAGGAATGCTCGGTACACACGTTGTGTGCCTGAGTACTGATGTTTAGACGGACGTTCATGTGTGTTAGTCACGCATTCACGTACTCTTACATTCCTTCATTCAATCGTTCATTCATTTACTCATTCACATACTCATTCACTCCCTTGTTCCCTCCCAGTCACTCTCGCCTCATGCTAATCTGACCTAAAGGATTGCTTAAATCTGCACCCCCGCCCCCCCCCCGGGTGTGTGGACCTACCTAATTGTGCTTATAGGGCCAGACTCTTGCTCTTGGGCCCCGTCTGTATTTGTTTAATAATTATATTTATACACAAACATGGCGTAAGTCTCGTGACTTACGAGACGAGTCTTAGAGATGAGGCTTGAAGACTCATCTGTCTCTCTAGCCTCCATGTGTGTGTGTGTGTGTGTGTGTGTGTGTGTGTGTGTGTGTGTGTGTGTGTGTGTGTGTGCGCTCGCGAGCACGCACATGGGTAAAAACTAGATTGCATTTGTTGTAGTGCCTGTTAATTAAATTTTTAACCCAATTAGTCATTAAATCCGTTCATCTTCTCTCTCTCTCTCTCTCTCTCTCTCTCTCTCTCTCTCTCTCTCTCTCTCTCTCTCTCTCTCTCTCTCTCTCTCTCTCTCTCTCTCTCTCTCTCTCTCTCTCTCTCTCTCTCTCTCTCTCTCTCTCTCTCTCTCTCTCTCTCTCTCTCTCTCTCTCTCTCTCTCTCTCTCTCTCTCTCTCTCTCTCTCTCTCTCTCTCTCTCTCTCTCTCTCTCTCTCTCTCTCTCTCTCTCTCTCTCTCTCTCTCTCTCTCTCTCTCTCTCTCTCCCTCTCTCTCTCCCTCTCCCCCTCCCCCCCCCCTCTCTCTCTCGTGACAGCTGGCTACCCACCTGGATGAGAATGGAGATGCCGACGATGCCGTAAGCTTTGTCCAGCGCCTGGGAGAAGTTAGCGTAGAGCTGAGAGTTGTAGCCGAAGATCTGCAGCTGTTGGTAGGAAACAACTGTCTTATTCTCTCTCTCTTCCTTCCTTAATCTCCCTCCCACACTCGCTCTCCCACCCCTCCCTCTCCCTCCCACCCCTCCCTCTCCCTCCCTCGCTCCATACCTGGCTCCATACCTGCCGTGGCTGGAGGGAGTATTGAAGGGAAGGGATTTATCAGGAGAAAGCCCCAAACCATTACGACTATATAGCACTTGGAAGGGATCAGAATAAGGAGTTGGGATGGGACGGTGGGTAAGGAATGGTGCACAAGCACCTGGACGGTCGGGGATTGAACGCCGACCTGTATGAAAGGAGACCTTTGCTCTACCGTCCAGCCCAAGTCTCTCACCCATTCTTACTGTGTCTTGTACACTGTGTTCTATGTAGGCCTGGAGGAGGCCTGGTCGACGACTGGGCCGCTGGGACGCTAAGCCCCGGAAGAACCTCAAGGTAGGCTACTTCCCCAGATAATCCTGCTCCCCCCCCCCCCACGCCCTGCTCGGCCCCCCCCCCCTGCCTTCCTCACGTGTGATGGATGTGTGTAAAATATTTACAACCACCAATTACATGTCAATAATCCGTTATGACTGCCACATCCCTCTTCTTCCCCACGTCCTCTCTCCCACAACACTCTCTCTCTCTCTCACACGTCCTCTCTCCCACAACACTCTCTCTCTCTCTCACACACACGTCCTCTCTCCCACAACACTCTCTCTCTCCCACACGTCCTCTCTCCCACAACACTCTCTCTCTCTCTCACACACACGTCCTCTCTCCCACAACACTCTCTCTCTCCCACACGTCCTCTCTCCCACAACACTCTCTCTCTCCCACACGTCCTCTCTCCCACAACACTCTCTCTCTCTCACACACACGTCCTCTCTCCCACAACACTCTCTCTCTCCCACACGTCCTCTCTCCCACAACACTCTCTCTCTCCCACACGTCCTCTCTCCCAAAACACTCTCTCTCTCCCACACGTCCTCTCTCCCACAACACTCTCTCTCTCTCACACACGTCCTCTCTCCCACAACACTCTCTCTCTCCCACACGTCCTCTCTCCCAAAACACTCTCTCTCTCCCACACGTCCTCTCTCCCACAACACTCTCTCTCTCCCACAACACTCTCCCTCTCCCACACGTCCTCTCTCCCACAACACTCTCTCTCACACACAACACTCTCTCTCTCCCACAACACTCTCTCTCTCTCCGACAACACTCTCTCTCTCCCACAACACTCTCTCTCTCTCTCCGACAACACTCTCTCTCTCCCACAACACTCTCTCTCTCCCACAACACTCTCTCTCTCCCACAACACTCTCTCTCTCCCACAACACTCTCTCTCTCCCACAACACTCTCTCTCTCCCACAACACTCTCTCTCTCCCACAACACTCTCTCTCTCCCCCACAACACTCTCTCTCTCTCCCACAACACTCTCTCTCTCTCCCACAACACTCTCTCTCTCTCCCACAACACTCTCTCTCTCTCCCACAACACTCTCTCTCTCTCCCACAACACTCTCTCTCTCTCCCACAACACTCTCTCTCTCCCACAACACTCTCTCTCTCCCACAACACTCTCTCTCCGACAACACACTCTCTCTCTCCCACAACACACTCTCTCTCTCCCACAACACACTCTCTCTCTCCCACAACACTCTCTCTCTCCGACAACACTCTCTCACACGTCCTCTCTCCCACAACACTCTCTCCCACACGTCCTCTCTCCCACACACGTCCTCCCCCCCCACGTCCTCTCTCCCACAACACTCTCTCTCTCCCACACGTCCTCTCTCCCACAAACGTCCTCTTCCCCCACGTCCTCTCCCTCAAGGGATGGTCGTCCCTCTAATCGTTAACTCCTGAATTGCAAGTGTTGCAACAGGGACGGTGCACCGCTGCCACCCACAGGTGATGCAAGCCGGCTTTTCGCCTTTGTCACCTTTTACATATATATACATATATATGTATACAGTGTGGAGGATATGTATATATACATATATAATGTATATTATTTATGTATATATACATATCCGGACTACGAAGGAAGAATTAAGACAAGAATTTCCTTAAGTACTTTCATATTTAATAATATAGCTTCAGATGGATCCTTCTGAAGATGCATTATGAAATACGGAAGTACTTAAGGAAATTCCTGTATTAATCCTTTCTTTTTGGTCTGAGATTGTCACAGTGTTCTTCAGGTGTTTATTTTCGTCATTGAAAATATAAATTGAAATATAAACATACATTTATATACATTGTAATATATGTATATAAATGTATGTTTTTGTGTTTTTCGGAATTTCGTCATGAATTGTTTCAGGGATGGCTTGCTCTTTGCCCCTTTGAAAAGTGATTTGCAAATGAATATTAATTCCGGGTTCAAAGGAGTTGTCTAAATTCATCTTTTACCTTTTATGTTTGTAGAGTTGTTGTGGTGAATGTATTTATACATGTACACACACATGTATATGTATGTTCATATGTATATACTCATGTATTTGTGTACATGTATGTATGCAAATATGTGTGCCTTTGATCTCTGTACATGTGTATGTGTGTACGTACCTATTGGTAGTCATCTATTTGTGGCTGCAAGACCAAGCTGTGGCTCTTAGACCCCGCCTCACCAGCCAGCGGGTGTCAAATGCAATGATTTACAACCTATTTACATATCTTATCTAACTCTAATATCATAACAGAAGCTGGTCTTCATAACCTTCTTCTGTTCCTTTGACTTTCTCACTATTACGTTAATATAAAAAACATATTTCTATGACTTACCTAAATCACAAGCTTCCATCAATCTTGTTATATTACTATCCATTGTGAACATCTTTCCTCTTTTGTCAATTCCCAGAATTATTTTTACACGGCTCTATATATTTTTTTAGCCCAGTTATATATATTTTTTTATTTTCTAGTGACGTTAGGTCTGGCTCTGTGTTCATTCATATCCTCTGTCTGACTGTTCAGGGACGAGCCTCGGTCCTAACCTTTGTACCTTTTCAACTTTCTTTGTGTTTTTTTTTTTGAGGTGGGGCTCCACGATTGGCAGACGACAGCTAAACGACTTCGTATTTAGGTTCCTGAATGATGTTCTGATGTTTGCTGGTGTAGAGTATGTTGCTGATGTTATCGTATTTATATGAGCCTCCGGAGTTAGGCTTAGTGTTATATCCACTCCCAGGCTCGTTACAGTGAGGTAGTTTCCCAGGTACTTATTCCCATTATCATCACTTTACTCTTGCTGGCGTTGAAATCTAGTAGCCATTTCTCGGACCAGCTTTGCAGCGTGTCTAAGACATCTTGGAGTATCTTAAAACCTGTCTCTACTTTTCTCATTAATTTTGCATCATGTGTGTATTTATATTTACAATTTGTATATACTATTTGCACCTGCAGAATCTGTTGGCTCTTGGACCCCGCCTTTCTAAGCGTCTGTTGTCTGGTGTACCGACTTCCATGTTATGTTTCTCTATCATATCTACTACATGTATGTCTCTCCTACACACTCATCCCCACGATGCAGTCCGCAGAAACGGTCTAAATCCCATGTACCTACTTATTGCTAGGTGAACAGAGTGATCAGGTGAAAAAAGCTCTGCCTATGTGTTTCTGTTTCGGCGTAGAATTTGATTCCGGGTCCGTGGACGGCGAATCCTGGACGTTGTTTGTTCTACCGCGAGACGTGTGTGTGTGTGTGTGTGTGTGTGTGTGTGTGTGTGTGTGTGTGTGAGCACCCCACACAGGGCTTGGGAGGCGTCATGCGTGTTCTGGCTCCTAACGGTTGCCTGTGTTTTGTAAGATAAAGGCAACAGTGCAATTTTTGTTTTTGTTTTTATTAAATTTTGTGTATGGAAGGATATTGCTACGCTACTTGTAGCGGGGACTAGAGTGCCACGCCCCCCACTCTCACACCAGTGCCACGCCCGGCACACACACACACACACACACACACACACACACACACACACACACACACACACACACACACACACACACACACACACACACACACGGGGTAACCGGAAATAGGGGGTGGGCGATGCTCACGTGTTTACTTACCAACTTACCCAACTGTGTTTTCAGGGGTTAAGCTTTCGCTATCTGCTGCCACCTTTTAATCTAAGATGAACTCGTGTACAGTTTCGTGGGACTGTTACGCTCAGTCACGACCGGGCCGCGGGGACGCTAAGCCCCGGAAGCACCTCAAGGTAACCTCAAGTCTGTCTACAGTTATAACTGTGGCCGACGTCTGCCTACACCACTACACTGCACTCTATGCATTCACCTTTCTGGCGCTGAACCAATTATTTCTAATGTTCCTGTAACTCATTTGTGAATTTAATTTCTAGCTGTGTCCTCTTGTTGGTGTACCGCCCGTGCTGCATAGTCCGTCTTTGGCAGCGCTATCAATTTCCTTTTTAGAATTTCTATGTGGTAATCATGTCTCCCTTCTATAATAGGTCTTGAATATATCTTTATTTAGAGCACTGGAGCAAACTCCACCGATGAAGCGTGGTTGATGTAGTCTTGGGTAGACATGGTTGATGTCATCAATCCCTGGCTGGGTCTTTCTGTTTGGTTTGTGCAAGGTTTCCTCTGTCTGTTGACACCTTGTGTGTGTGTCGTGTCTGTGGAGGGGGGGGGGGAGGTCGAGTCTGTGAGGGGTGGGGGTAGGGGGAGATATAGTCTGTGAGGGGTGGGGGTGGGGGGAGGTCGAGTCTATGAGGGGTGGGGGTGGGGGGAGGTCGAGTCTGTGAGGGGTGGGGGTGGGGGAGATAAAGTCTGTGGGGGGTGGGGGGGTGGAGGGAGGTCGAGTCTGTGGGGGGGGGGGGGTGAGGTCGAGTCTGTGGGAGGTGGGGGGTGGACGGAGGTCGTGTCTGTGAGGGGTGGGGGTGGAGGGAGGTCGAGTCTGTGGGGGGGGGGTGAGGTCGAGTCTGTGGGGGGTGGGGGGTGGACGGAGGTCGTGTCTGTGAGGGGTGGGGGTGGAGGGAGGTTGAGTTTGTGGGAGGGGGGGTAGGGGTGGGGGAAGATCGAGTCTGTGGGGATGGTTGGGGTTAGTGGAGGCCGGTGGGGTTAGAGGGTCGATGAGGGGTCAGTAGGGCTCCGTGGGGTTAGCGGCGGGCAGTGGGGGTGGATGGGGGTAGTGGGGGTGTGGGGGCGTCATTACACGTCAGAGGGGGTCCCCAACGCTGTCAAGAGCATAAATCATTACTCCGCCCCTCCTCTGCCCTCCCTCCGTGACATGACAAGTGGAGGGCTCACGGCGCCGCCAGGGGCAGTGAGGGGAGAGCTGGCAGGAAAGGGGGAGAGAGAGGACCGTCGACAAGGGGGCGGGAGGGGAGAGAGAAGAGGGGAGACAAGAGCGAGGGGAAAAATGAAAGCATACACAATGTATTGTGTTCAGTGATGGGAGAAGACGACGATTGTGTAGATAAGTGAGAGAGAGAGAGAGAGAGAGAGAGAGAGAGAGAGAGAGAGAGAGAGAGAGAGAGAGAGAGAGAGAGAGTGAGAGAGAGTGAGAGAGAGTGAGAGAGAGTGAGACAGAGAGAGAGTGAGAGAGTGAGAGAGAGTGAGAGAGAGTGAGAGAGAGAGAGAGCACCAAACAACCAAACTATCGCTGCAGGCCGGGATGTAATGAATCTCGACAGATATTTTTGCGTGGAAAATGACACACGCACAAATAAATAATTTAATGATTATTAATAATTTTAATTTAATGAATAAAAGAATGAGTATCACCGTAAATAAATATATTTGTACCAGCCTTCCTCCGCGACGTGCTAGGTGCGAGTTCTCGGAGCTGCTCCTCGGAGCTGCTCCTCGGGGCTGCTACTCGGAGCTGCTCCTCGGAGCTGCTTCTCAGGGCTGCTCCTCAGAGCTTCTTCTCAGAGCTGCTCCTCGGAGCTGCTTCTCAGGGCTGCTCCTCAGAGCTGCTTCTCAGGGCTGCTCCTCAGAGCTGCTCCTCAGGGCCGCTCCTCAGAGCCGCTCCTCAGGGACGCTCCTCAGGGCCGCTCCTCAGAGCTGATCCTCAGGGCCGCTCCTCAGAGCTGCTCCTCAGGGACGCTCCTCAGGGCCGCTCCTCAGAGCTGATCCTCAGGGCCGCTCCTCAGAGCTGCTTCTCAGAGCTGCTCCTCAGGGCTGGTCCTCAGGGCTGCTCCTCAGGGCTGCTCCTCAGAGCTGCTCCTCAGGGCTGCTCCTCAGAGCTGCTCCTCAGAGCTGCTCCTCAGAGCTGCTCCTCAGAGCCGCTCCTCAGGGCCGCTCCTCAGAGCTGCTCCCCAAAAGCTGCTTCTCAGAGCTGCTCCTCAGGGCCGCTCCTCAGAGCTGCTCCTCAGAGCTGCTCTTCAGAGCTGCTCCTCAGGGCTGCTCCTCAGGGCCGCTCCTCAGGGCCGCTCCTCAGAGCTGCTCCTCAGGGCCGCTCCTCAGAGCTGCTCCTCAGAGCTGCTCCTCAGAGCTGCTCCTCAGGGCTGCTCCTCAGGGCCGCTCCTCAGGGCCGCTCCTCAGAGCTGCTCCTCAGGGCTGCTCCTCAGGGCTGCTCCCCGGAGCTGCTCCTCGGAGCCAGGGACAAGGTTGATGTCTGACTTTCTTGAAAAGTATGTACACTTCCTGTAGTGTTAGGGTGTAAGGTCTTGGTGAATACTGAAACACTACTGGGAAACTGTGTGCCTGCACGCACGCGAGCGTCGTGAGCCTGTTCACCTATCTGTATTTGCCTGGCTGTGCTCATCTATTTGTGCTCACCTAGCTGTAGTCGCCTAGATATAGTCACCTAAAGTGTACTCACCTAGCTGGTCTCACCTATATGTGAGACCAGCTAGTTGAGTACACTCTTTCCCATAAAACACTGCCCACCCTTATACCCCTGCCTTCCTTGCCCACCCCAAGCACCCCTCTCCCTTCCTTACCCACCCCAAGCACCCCTCTCCCTTCCTTACCCACCCCAAGCACCCTGCCCTCCCTGCCCACCCTGCCCACTCTGAGCACCCTGCCCACCCTGAGCACCCTGCCTACCCTCCCTTGCCCACCCTGCCCACCATGCCCACCCTGCCCACCCCAAGCACCCTGCCCACCCTGCCCACCCTGCCCACCCTAAGGACCCACCTCAGCGGGGAAGGCTCTGCCGTTGATGGTGTGCTCGGAGCCCAAGAGGTCGACAATGCCGTAGCGGAGATGTGCCTCTGTGAGCTGGTAGCGGTAGGAGAGGGGTCCTCCGGTCACGTTGATGGGGGTCTTGCCCCCGTCCAGGGTCAGCACCACGCTGTGACCTGTGTTCTCCAGGCTCCCTGACACCTGTGGGGGGCAGAGCAAAGAGTCAGTGGGGGAGGGGTCCGCTCCTACACTCCTGCGGGGGTTGGGGGTCCAGGTCTGATGTAGTGGGTGGTGGGGGTGAGTGCAGTACTCATCTAAGGTACTCTTAAGCATATTTTTCTAATAATTATATAATTACAGTCACCAAAATCAATTACAACAAAGATACCTTTCAATCACCAGCATAACAAGTACAATCTATTGTCAACAAGAAGACAACAAGGACAGTCAATCTACAGTCAGCACCAACAAGAGCGCAACAAAAACACATAATAGCCACCATAACAAGGACACTGACCCTGTGTTTGTCGACATGGAGGAGGCGGAGGTTGGGGTCGTAGAGGAGGCGAGCCGGGTCTATATCTATAGGGCTCTGGCGCCGCCCCTTGCTGCACAGGCTCCAGTCTGGGTTGATCAGGCCCCAGAAGTCCGGCCCTGGGGGAGGAAGAGCGGGGGTGTTAGTAGGGCCTCACTCTTAGGAGTGGCTGTGTGGGGCCTCACTCTTAGGAGTGGCTGTGTGGGGCCTCACTCTTAGGAGTGGCTGCGTGGGGCCTCACTCTTAGGAGTGGCTGCGTGGGGCCTCACTCTTAGGAGTGGCTGTGTGGGGCCTCACTCTTAGGAGTGGCTGTGTGGGGCCTCACTCTTAGGAGTGGTCGTGCAATGTGCTGCTGCTTATTGGCACGTGTGCAGACCTGGCTCTCAGGTGTGCGGGTATTGTCCGTGTGTGTGTGTTGGCTGGCTTGATGAGTGTGTTGGAAATCATGTTGACACACATATGAAGATATACAAGATAGAATTTAATACAAATATCCCACACACGCACACTCATTATATACAAATATATCTTCAACCTTCTCAAACAACTTTGTCATAAAATAGAATACCAAAAAAAATTCGCCTTCGGAGCTTTTTTTGTCGAGTTGAAAATTAACATTTATATAGAAGTTGTATAATTGCTCGCTTGTCTCAGTCTTATCTTATCTCACATAGCCTCATTTTACCTCACATAGCCTCATCTTACCTTACCTAACTTACTTAAAATGTATAAGTTGCCCTGAATAACTAGCTAGGCTTGTGAGCCGGACTTGTATGTCGCTATATGACAAACAACGAAACTTGATAAGGAAACTTGAGATAATTCGATAAAAAGGATACAGGAGTAACTCAATACAGTACAACATAAGAATATAAGAACGAATGGAAACACAGATGGTGTGTTGGCTCGTATGGGACAGGTATTTATATCCACCCCAAACTCACTCATAGGTCTAACCTACACTTGAAACAACCCGGTGATCCCACGTCTGTTATGTTACCCGATAATTTGTTGCACAAATCAACAAACCTGACCTTTCCAAACCAGTATTTACCCAAGTCTTTCCTGTATCTAAACTTATCCAATTTATATCTATTGTCTCGACTTTCAATTTGTTATTTATATAATGTATTAAAATATATAAATATTGCAGAGAGGAAATCATATCATATTCCGGCAACTGTTACCAGAGTTAAATAATTTGTGATAAAATAACGCTAAACAATTATTCAGAACATGTGGCACATTTAACTAAGCTGGAACACACAGGTGTAGGATGGTGTTCAGACCTACAACCATTTTAATACAACACACAGCTGTATCACGAAGCTCGCACCTGTAGAAACATAACAGGTCGTAGAACAATACCAGTATACGCAAGAAAGTACTTTCGTGAATTATAAACTGTGATAAATGGCTAGAGGCACTTGGAATGGCTAAATGCACCTAGAATGGCTATAGATGCACTTAGAATGGTTAAATGCACCTAGAAAGGCTATAGATGCACTTAGAATGGCTAAATGCACCTGGAATGGCCATATATGCACTTAGAATGGCTAAATGCACCTAGAATGGCTATAGATGCACTTAGAATGGCTAAATGCACATGGAATGGCTATATATGCACTTAGAATGGCTAAATGCACCTAGAATGGCTATAGATGCACTTAGAATGGCTAAATGCACCTGGAATGGCTATAGATGCACTTAGAATGGCTAAATGCACCTGGAATGGCTATATATGCACTTAGAATGGCTAAATGCACCTGGAATGGCCATATATGCACTTAGAATGGCTAAATGCACCTAGAATGGCTATAAATGCACTTAGAATGGCTAAATGCACATGGAATGGCTATATATGCACTTAGAATGGCTAAATGCACCTAGAATGGCTATAGATGCACTTAGAATGGCTAAATGCACCTGGAATGGCTATAGATGCACTTAGAATGGCTAAATGCACCTGGAATGGCTATATATGCACTTAGAATGGCTAAATGCACCTGGAATGGCCATATATGCACTTAGAATGGCTAAATGCACCTAGAATGGCTATAGATGCACTTAGAATGGCTAAATGCACATGGAATGGCTATATATGCACTTAGAATGGCTAAATGCACCTAGAATGGCTATAGATGCACTTGGAATGGCTAAATGCACCTGGAATGGCTATAGATGCACTTGGAATGGCTAAATGCACCTGGAATGGCTATAGATGCACTTGGAATGGCTAGAGAGGCTCAGAATACCTACAAGAGGGACACCAACAGCGGTGTTCAGAACACAACACTACACCAACACCAACAAGCAGGTGGATTGAGGGAGCGCATGGCCCCAGAGAGAGGTGTGGGGGGGGGGGGGGGGGCGCGTGGAGTCAACTACTCAATACTTCAGACATATTTATAATAAATTATGTGAAGGAGACGGGATACCTCGGCCACACCTACTCCTGTCACAAAACATTGGCGAGCACACGTACGCACTCACATGCACACACAAACACACACACACACACACACACACAGTCACACACACATACGCACACACATGCACACACACACGCACACAGTCACACAGTCTACACAGTCTACACAGTCACACAGTCACACTGGTGGATAGCGCGCAGGACTCGTAATTCTGTGGCGCGGGTTCGATTCCCGCACGAGGCAGAAACAAATGGGCAAAGTTTCTTTCACCCTAAGTGCCCCTGTTACCTAACAGTAAATAGGTACCTGGGAGTTAGTCAGCTGTCACGGGCTGCTTCCTGGGGTGTGTGTGTGTGTGTGGTGTGGGAAAAAAAAAGTAGTTAGTAAACAGTTGATTGACAGTTGAGAGGCGGGCCGAAAGAGCAAAGCTCAACCCCCGCAAAAACACAACTAGTAAACACAACTAGTAAACACACACGCACACAGTCACACACGCACACAGTCACACACGCACAGAGTCACACACGCACACAGTCACACACGCACACAATCACACACGCACACAATCACACACACACACACACAGTCACACGCACACACACAGTCACACGCACACACACAGTCACACGCACACACAGTCACACACGCACTCACAGTCACACACGCACACACAGTCACACACGCACACACAGTCACACACGCACACACAGTCACACACGCACACACAGTCACACACACACACACACAGTCACACACACACACACACACACACACACACACACACACACACACACACACACACACACACACACAGTCACACACACACACACAGTCACACACGCACACAGTCACACACACACACAGTCACACACGCACACAGTCTCACACGCACACAGTCACACACGCACACAGTCACACAATCACACACGCACACAAGGGGACACAGGTGGAGACTGAGTACCCACATGAGCCACAGGGACGTTAGAAGGAACTTTTTCAGAGTCAGAGTAGTTAACGGATGGAATGCATTAGGCAGTGATGTGGTGGAGGCTGACTCCATACACAGTTTTAAATGTAGATATGATAGAGCCCAATAGGCTCAGGAACCTGTACACCAGTTGATTGACAGTTGAGAGGCGGGACCAAAGAGCCAGAGCTCAACCCCCGCAAGCACAACTAGGTGAGTACAAGCAGTGAGGTGTGCGTACGGGCCCATAAAAAGTCAGGGGTCGGGAGCTGTAGCTCTCTACGGGCTCACCATAGCCCGTGCTACTTGGAACTTGTTCCGAGTTGCTGAATCTATAACAACAACAACAGCTGTAGCTGAATCACAAGCACGGTTATACTAGTACAAACAAACTATTGCTCCCAAGCTGAGCCCTACACGAGGACCGCCAAACACTCAACAAACAACAGGTGTTTGCAATAGAGCTCATTCATAAAAACAAACAGTTGGATACGATATATGGCAGCCTCCGTGTGTAATGTCCGTTTAAAGTGAATTAATGACATCCACCGTTAATAAATATACACATACATATTCATTAATCTATAAGGGAATGGAACTATCACGAGAAAGCGCCAAGCCATTATGACCTAGTAGCACTTGGAAAGGGTCAGGATAATAATTTGGGATGGGACGTTTAAATGGTGCCCAACCACTTGTACGGTCGGGGATTGAACGCCGACCTGCATGAAGTGAGAACGTCGCTTTACCGTCCAATCTATTTATTAGTGAAATATCTCTCTCTGATGTCGAAGGACAATTGTTCCCAGTAATTGTTGTTGGGTACATGCCCAACATGAGCGGGTCGAGACTGACATCAAAGAAAAGAATGCCACGTAACACTGTGACAAACGTACACCCATGATGCCATTATTACTCCACACTGAATTATTATTATTTCTGCCGTATCGTAAAACTTTACGCGCTGATTACGTAAAATGTTTCCAAATAATTCTAGCTCTCATATTTTGGGTTCATGGTGCCATCAACTGTGCGTTCAATGCTGGGTTGACCCCTTCGTTGAGCACATTCCACCCGCCACGACTGGCAGTGGGGAAGAGAGAGGTGAGGAGGAGGAGAAAGGTAGAGAAAGATTGGAAGATAGGAGGGATAGAGAGAGAGAGAGAGAGAGAGAGAGAGAGAGGCATATATAGTAGATATAATACAGGATAAATAGATTGGGAGTCGGTACATTAGTCAAATGACGGTTAGGAAGGCGGGGTCCAATAGCTAACAGCTAGATCCTGCAGATGCAAATAGTAAACACACACACGTGACACTAATGAACAAATCCATTTGTGTCACGGGACTCTAGGTGTGTTCATTTCAAATCAGCCACGTGTGTGTCAACTTACCAACTCACACAGTCACAAGATGTACCAACATATCCAACACCAACTCTTTCTCGCACTTACTTATAGTCAATATCTTGCTTATGAATAAGTGCATATGTGGCATACTAATTTATTGTGAATATTTGAGTTTACCTTGAAAAGCTGAATAGAAAATCACAACCTAACCTAACCTTCTTAGTATGTTAAGATATTACAATTAGTACTGAACCTATAGCTATATTGATATTACAGTTTTATAAAAATAATAAAACAAAACTAAAATATTTAAATAAATTGAAAAGTAACTCAGGATATTGTCAAATTTTGTATAAAATCTCTATTGTTTA